ATTTGAACTGGTGGAACCCGAGTGTGTGAGGTGTAGTGATGGAGAATAACATGGGACCATTGAAGGAAGGCTTTCTCTAGTTCTTCTAACTAAAGCAGAAGGGAATGCAGTAGAGAATGGGATGGAAGCCAACTCTGTGCTGCCATCGCTTCAGGAGCAGAGCTGTGGTTGGGGAATCAATGCAATTCAATAGCTCTTAGTGTGTTTCAATTTACTCTGGAAGGGGGATTGAGCTGGGGTGTGTGTGTGTGTGTGTGTGTTTGTATTGCAGGGCTCCATCACTGACCTCACTCTGTCCTCTTCTCCTTTTCATACAGGTCCCAGCTGGAGGGATGAAACCCTTTGCCCTGTTTGTCGTGGTGGCCGGGGCCTTGTTCCTGTACCCCTGCCTGAAGAGATGCAGCCACAGTTGGATGGCGACCTGAGGGGGAGCCTCTGTGCCCCCTTCCCCTTGCGGAGAGGACCACACATGACACATACCCTTCCCACACTCCCTTCCCTGTGAGAACCGAGAACCTTCTCTCTCCCCACCCTGCACCCCAGCCTGCATTGTGGAGGCTGGAGTCTAGGGAACCAGCCCCCTTGACCTTTAGAGGGGGCCACCACGGATCTCAGCCCCCATGCCGGGCAGCACTCCTCCTCTGTCTCTTTACCTCCTGTAGCAACAATCAGCACCCTCCTTACCTGTCCTTTGGGCTCTCAAAGCCTCATAGAAAAGGGACAGGGTGGGGAGAAAGGATGAGGTGGCATTTGTGCTGTACAATGGGGCTCCCAGCCTAATCCTGGCTCCCCACCCCTTGGCCCATAGGAAACTGGAGAAGGAAAGAGCACTCTGTCTTCTAACCGCTCCTTTAGTGCTCCAAGCTGCCATGTTGCACCCTTTCTGGACACACTGGGAAAGGTTTGGTCAAGACTGAGGAAGGAGGAGAGGTGAGAGTTTGGACCCAAGCCCCCTTCCGAGGTCTGGAAGGGATGCACAAGGTCAGGAAAGAGCAGAAAGCCACGGCCCCTTGACCTCTGCTCCTTCTCTTCCCTCTCCGGAGACCATTATACCCCATTCCTTTGGGGCCGGCCCAGAGAGAGCAATTGGGAGCAATACTTGTTGCATGGCACTGCTTCTTGTGGGATGCCGACTTCTTCCATCCATGGCAGGACCTTTAGTAGTAAAACACTGACAGTAATCCAGGGGATTAAACAGCATGCGGGGCAAGGGAAAGTCCATGATGATTTCTCCTCTTTTTTTGGCAATATTTAAGGCCTGTTTTAACACTGTGAATGGGACCCACGTGAGCAAACCTGGGATGCTCGAAAGTGGCCAAAGGAAAACAGAGCTACATGTGTACTATGTTTTATCTATCCTAATTCCTCTCAAAAGTAACTTCCAGATCTTTCTCTCTTTCCCAGGAACAGGCCGCTGCCTCTCCCAAGCCCCCCCTGAATCTATGCATCGTGCCCTCATGCCATCTCCCCATCCCTCGTCTGGCCATCCTGCCCCCCCAACTTGCTTCTAGCCTTAGGAAATACTTGTAGGTCGGTGCAAATGTGTGTGTGAATGTGGTCTTTGCAACTTCAAGCTGGTGGGAAGGTGTGGGACTGCCAAAGAGTTATAGTTGGGTTTGGGGAGAGCTGTATCATAAAGACCCGCTGGGGGAGTCACAGCGGTCACCATTCAAGCTCCTTTCAAGCGATCGATTCCTCTTGGCCCCCGGATCATAATGGGAAGGGGAAGCGACAGATTTTCGGGCTGCGACGACGTAGCCTCTGGGACCCTATGGGTGTGAGATCTTAGCCCTGCATGGTTTATTTGTCCCTGTGTGTGTCTGTACAAGGGTGCTTGCTCTATCACCGAGCAACCTGCTCCCACCTTTTTCCGTCTTCCCTCGAACTCTGTGCCCCGTTTCCATCTGAGATGGGGTAGATCACTTTTAAGAAAAGAATCTTTTAAAAAAAGATACTGGAGACTCTCCGTGGATCTTTGTCTTTGTTCTATGTTGTAGCTCAGTAGAAAAGAAAAGAAAGAAAGATCTTTATAAATACCTCTGTCTCTGGTCTGTTCTTGTTCTGATCTCTCTGTCATATCAAGGAATGGCCAAAAACGGTGGCCGCTGATGCTTTCTATATCCCATTGGCCTGAATAGTGGTGGTGTCTTACACATGCACAAGTTCCTCTAAAGACATGGTTGGACATTTCTCAGTTATCAACATCATCATCCAGCTTAAGATCACTGCACATGGATATGCATTGTGCATGTGCGTTGTGCTTGGATGTGTGTTACCTAAAATTCAGGGGGTCTCAGGAGGGCACCCACATTTGACTTCAGTGGGGGAATTGGTTTAGTTCAGTATGAAGTAGCAAGAGGGCTTCGGGTAACTCTTTCAGAGACGGGATTCTAGCCTATGTATAATGATTCCAAACCAAGAATTCCAAACAGCAAGTTCTAAATTAGTTTAGTTTTGTTTAAGAAGCAAAGGGAAAATGTGAGTTCGATCCTACAGGGCTCCAGGTTGACTCAGCCTTCCTTCCTCATCCTTTCATAGGTCGGTTAAAATGAGTACCCAGTTTGTTGAGGGCAATTGGCTAACACATTGTAAACCACTTAGAGAGGGCTTAACACTATAAAGCAGTATAAAAATGTAAGTGCTATTGCTATTGCTAAATCAACTTGCGCACAAGAGACTGTCACACAGATACAAGAACTAAATGCAAAAAGTGGTAGCTGATAGCAAATTTAGAGGGTTTAGCAATGGGCAAAACTTTACTGGATCCAGGCATGGAGCTCCAATGGGAGAGGATGGGTCTGGCTCAGCACACAGATGAGATTTGCGTGGGCTGAGGATGTGAAGGCTCTCTATGTGTCCCCTATCTGCACCTGCTGAGGTGGATGGGACTCCTTGAGACCACCTTTTATCTAAAAAATGTGCTGCCACCTCCCAACGATTAACTTATTACACCTTAGCAATGTGTTGGGATGTTGCTGGGGCATTCCATTGGTATTTGCAAACCCAGTGAAGAACTAGCCAAGGTAAAGGTAAAGGTTTCCTCTTGACATGAATATCTAGTTATAACTAATTGCAGGGGGCAATGCTCATCTCCATTACTAAGCGAAAGAGCCAGTGTTGTTTGAGGACTGCTCCGGTGGTCATGTGGCCAGCATGACTGCATCAAACGCTGTTACCTTCCCACTGAAGTGGAATCTATTTATCTACTTGCATTTGCATGCTTTCGAATTGCTAGGTTGGCAGAAGCTGGGACTAGTGACAGGAGCTCACCCCGTCATGGAGCACTTGGACCTCAAACTGCCAACCTTCAGATCTTATGATCATCAGAACTGGCGTCTTAACCACTAAGCTACCGCATCCCTATGGTATACGAAATAGCTTAGCCAAGGTATGTGAAAAAGAGTACAAAGAGGCAGAGTACTTTAAAGCTTTATTTCTAACTAAAGGAGCTACAGAGCAAAAAGATATCACTACATGATGGACCAGCTCAACGTACAGGCAAAGATAGAAAGCATAAGTTACAGAGTACAACCATTTCCACCAAACCAGGAAAATAACTCAGAAATCCTGATGCCACTGACTGGTACATGTTCCTAATCTTAATCATAGATCAGATGGGATTTCTAGTCCTTGATGTTCCTGGACTCCATTGCCCAGCTCCACCAGCTTCCTCATGGTCTGCCTCACGAGAGCCAGAGACAAAAGCCAGACGGCGGAGAGGCGGACAGACCTGACCAAGGAGTCAAGGGAGAAATGGACAGAGCAGCTATCTGGAGTCAACTGAGACCAAATTGGGACTGCCCCAAACAGGCATATTTGTAGGAGGAAACGTGTCATAAGGCAATTTCTCAGGAGTTTGAGAGGATTATTCCAGGAGGAAGAATGGCCAGAGGTGTATGGAAAACAACAACAATGGCAAACATATCATGGAAAAGTGGGATATAAATTCATAAATAAATAAATAAATAAATAAATAAATAAATTTCATCTTCACAGCCTGGGGTCCTGCAGATGTTTTAAGTACAGACCCTTGGGGGAAGTTGATCAATGGGGACCTAACCCCCCCCCCCAAGTCCAGCATACCTAGAGGGCCCCAGGTTGATGAAGCAGGCAGTACTATCACATGGTCTGAATTCATATTGTGTGCCTTCGAGTTGTTTCCAACTTATGGCAACCCTAAGGCAAACCTATCATGGGGATTTCTTGGCAAGTTTCTCCAGAGAGGGTTTGCTATTGTTACCCTCTGAGGCTGAGAAAGTGTGACTTGCCCAAGGTCACCCAGGTGGGCTTCGTGACCCAGTAGGGATTCAAACCCTGGTGTCCCGAGTTCTAGCCCAGTGCACAAACCACTATGCAATGCTGGCTCTCAAACCCTTCTGCATTTCATAGCTGAAAACTAGGACCACGTGTGGCCAAGCAACATCTGAGTGTGGTGAAGATGGCAGAAGTTTTGAATGAGAAAGAATAGACAAGCTGGGAGATGCTGTAGTGTTTTGCTTTTGCCTGAGCTGACTGGGAAAGGCAAGAGTGCGCTTCCTTCTTGCTGCTCAGTTAACTGAGTGCAAACGACTTTTGCACTTGGAACTCAGTTTGCAGCAAGGGAAGTAAGCTGAGGACAAAGAAGGGGAGTGATAGGAGGAAAGAGAAATCAGGACATTTTCAAAGCAGCTGAAAAAGTGGGACGGTGCAGGATTAATTGGGACCATCCCCGCCAAATTAGGACAGTTGGACAGTCGGAGAGGGATTTACCTGCGCGTATTAAATTACAAAGCCAGTGTGGTGTAGTGGTTTGAGCGTAGGACTTGGACTCTGGAGATCAGGGTTTGATTCCCAGCTCAGCCCTGGAAACCCACTGGGTGACTTTGGGCAACTCACACTCTCTCAGCCCCAGGCTGCAAAGAGGGACCACTGAATAGTCCTTCAAAGGCGCCTTCAAGGGTGAAAGCAAGTTAGAAGGCTCTGGAAGGTATCTGTGAGTCACTCGACTATACTTGCTGCCCCATCCATCCCAGGTGGATAGAGGAATGGGATGGGTTCACACCAGGCCTGCTTGCTGGGACAGCCAAAAACAAACGCACACAAACACCACAACTATCTCTGCCGTCTCTTCCGGCTCTTTTCTGGAGCGGAGAAGGGACTTGGGTGCTCTTTTGGGCCGAAGGAGACAGGGTCAGGAGCACATGTTGTTCTCCTCTGGGGCGGCACATGCCGTGTGTCTTACTCACCGGCCTTTCTCCGCGTCGGAGGCCAGGTGCTTCAAGAGAGAGAACCTCATCGGCTATATTTGAGCGCCAGACTCACAGACACATGGGCCATGAGCCAAGGATCCTGGATCAGGGCCATGCTGCTTCTTTAGCTTCCCCAGAGAATGGAGAGCGCCGATATTTTGGGACGTGAGCAGAGATGACAAGAGGAGGAGGAAGAAGAAAAAGGATTGCTCTGAATAGCAGTCTCTTTCTATTCTAGGTTAAGAATGGATGGTTTAGCAAGAGATTAAATTTCTCCTAGCCAAGGGTTGAAGCCTCCAAAAAGCCAGGAGGAGGGCTGGGGACATGCTTTTTGGCCCTTGCATAAGAGATACCCCATAAGGAACCAGATTTCTGGCCCTTGAATAAGGGACATCCATAAAGAGCAAGCGTTTTACTCCTTAAATAAAGGGCATACCATAAGGGACAAGCTTTCTGGTCTTCGAATAAGTGGTATGCCATAAAGGAGGAGATTTCTGGCCCTAAAATAAGGGACACACCATAACAGAGAAGCTTTCTGGCTTTTGTATAAGGGACAAGCTTTCTGGGTACAAATACATAAGCAACACCCTTATACTAAGGGACACCTGGCAACCCAAGAATGGATATGTTTTCCAGCCTTCAAATAAAAGATGCTCCATAAGGAACAAGTTTTTATGACCCTTAAATAAGAGATCCTCTAAAAGGGACCTGCTTTCCAGCCCTCAAATAAGAAACACCTCATAGAAGACAAGCTTTGTGGACCTCCAATAAGGGACGCCCCACAAGGGACAAGATTTTTGGCCCTTAAATAAGGGACGCACCATAAAGGGCAAGTTTTCTGGCACTTGAATAAGGGACATCCCATAAGGGACAGGCTTAATAGCTACAAACAAGCAACACCCTTTTACTAAGGGACACTTGGCAACCCAATAATAGACATGTTTTCCAGCCTTCAAATAAGAGACGCTCCATAAAGAACGAGCTTTTTGACCCTTAACTAAGGGACGCTCCACAAGGGACAAGTTTTTCAGTCCTCAAATAAAGGACACACCATAAAGGAGAAGCTTTATGGCCCTTAACTAAGGGACGCCCCATAAGGGACAAGTTTTCCAGCCCTCAAATAAGAGACACCCCATAGAGGACAAGCTTTCTGGACTTCCAATAAGGGAAAGCTCACAAGGGACAAGCTTTCTGCCTCTTAAGTAAGAGACATCCCTTATAATAAGGGAACATCTGGCAACCCTAAGTATTAGTTGAACAGGGATTTTAACACTGGGCTTTTTTGTCATTGTTTCCCATTTTCAGCATGTTTAGGTGGTTTCTACTGTTTGAAATGTTAAACTGTTTAATTTTATTGCAGCTTGTTCAGAGATCTTATGACATTGGGTAGGATACAAATAGTTTAATAAATAAAAAATAGGATTCTAAGGGGACAATCAGGACAACAGTTCTGAACACGAGTTTTTAGCAAAAAAGGAGCTCGGGGCAATTTAGAACTGAATCAGCCAAAAATCTGTCTTATGATCAGAAGGGAAGAAGAGGCATTTTCACTGCGATTGGAAATAAGAGTATATCCTTTGTTTCTTGGAACATGCTGGTGAATTTTCTTTCTGGAAAGAAGGAGGGTCTGACCCAAGTGCTAGTCCCAAATTGAGGAGCCCCATTAAATTACATTTTTTAAAAAACTGTTTTAACCAGGTGCCTTTTAAAAAACACACACACATATTTGCAATTTAATTTTTAAAACAACTTTTGTAAAATAGGTTCTTGCTGTTGTGTGTCTTCAAGTTGTTTCCGACGTACGGCTCTCAAAATGAGTTACAGTTGGCCCTCCTTATCCACGGATTCAAGCATCCACAGCTTGAAAATATTTTTTAAAATATATATATATTCCAAAAAGCAAACTTTGATTTTGCCATGTTATATAAGGGGCACTATTTTACTGTGCCATTGTATTTAATGGGATGAGCATCCACGGATTTTGGTATCCCGGGGAGTCCTGAAACTGAACAGTGGATACCTAGGGCCTGCTCTATTAGGTTAAAACAAAATTGCAGCTACCGTAATAACTTATTTTGCAAGCCTCTTTGGATTCCATGCTGGGAGAAAGGTGGAACATAAAATTGAATGCATGAATGCATGACATTAATCCCTCACAAAACTAGAGATCCCAGGATTCCGCAACATGGAGCCATGATAGCTAAAGAAAGTGGTATCATATTGCTATAGTTGGGCAATGCGGATGCACCCCCCCCCCAAGTTGGCAACATCATAACATCTTTGTCATATTTTGTATGCTTTTGATTGCACTGTGCTTTTCAATTATGAGCCACTTTGAGTCCCAATTTTTGGGGAAAAGCAGGATGTAGATAAATGTATTATTATTATTATTATTATTATTATTATTATTATTATTATTATTCCCTTGCCTTAACTTGACCATCCATCCCAAATGGATCATTGCAAGTTTTGTGACATTCACTGTATTCAAGCATCCTTGGGTGGCTCTTCTTGTTGGATGCGTCAGAGAGGATTTGAGAGATGCAGTCGACACATCACACCAAAAACACACACGCCACAACGCCCCGACGTGTGACAATGCAGATGAGATCACCATGTAAACAACTTGCAAAAACTCATCTCTGAGTAAAGGCTACAGAAGCATGAATGGGATCCAGTTTGGTTCAGATGCCTAAGAGATCAAAAATGTGCAAGCCTGGTCATACTACAAAGCCACTCGGCTGGTCAGCTTGTGTTGCCTTGTGTGACACACTATGTTTTCTTCCCAGTTGGCAAGTCAATCACTCCGAGATACTATCCTGTGACACTGCACTTTGATCCCCAGTGGCGTAACGTAGGGGAATCCTGGGATTTGTCGTTTCCTGTGGAGTCCTGGGATTTGTAGTAGTCCACCCCCTGAGTATCCTGGCTCTTGCAGACTGAACCTTTGAAATTATAGCAAGCCGGTGTCCTAGAAGCCAGCTTAGTATAGTGGTTTGAGTGTTGGACTATGACTCTGGAGGCCCCTGGTTCGATTCCCTGCTCAGCCATGTAAACCCATGGGGTGACCCTGGGCAAGTCACATTCTCTCAGCCTCAGGAGAAGGCCTCCCCTAAACAAAATTTGCCAAGATAGCCCCATGATTGGTTTGCCTTA